TGAGTAGCTATTAGTTTGTGGAAGATAAGAGGATCTGATAACATTCTGATTTGAAGCTTCAGATGCTATGTTCCATTGTGGTTTACACAAGTAGCTCGAAATAACAGAGTCATGTCTTGTTCAGGCTAGATATTCAAATAACATCTCAGTTGCTCCTCTGGTATATTTTATTTTGTAGTATAATTTACATTACAAAATGAGTTTTATATTTAACTGTTCCTCATCAGAGCATGGAGACACAAATTTTTTCAACTGTTTCATCTTCTGGTGGATAGACTTTATGTTATCATGCCCCTCAAGTTGGAAAAAGATTCCAATGGATATTAAAATTACATGCAGACTGCTGTTGAGGTAATTAGCCGATCTGAGATCATATATATATATATATATATATATATATTAGTAAGGTTTTCGTTTTCGCCTTGTTCTTGCCGCAAACAAATTCGGTTCTTATCTGCTTCGTAGTAGATTCCAATGACTTCCTCTTAAATTCATTCAAATCTCATATTTTGTTTGGGGGAATAGAGAAGTTTGCTGCAGCTATACATGGCCCAAGGTCTCTAACATTTCCAACAGATTGTCATATCTCCACTTTATAGTAAAGTAGTTATCAGAGTATGTCATGTCTCACAAAAGCCTTTGGTTGAGTGGTTTTCCGAGTCATGTATTGTTGTGCTTTAAGATTCAAGTATGCTTTTGGAATTGATAATAAATTTTTATTTTCCATGTTGAAGATATCAAAAATTGAAACCTGCAACACACTGAATTGCCGTGAAGCAGCTGGCCAAGAGGATCTGTCTTGACACTTGCGATGCTCTGTTCCCTTGTGTTTGAAATAACAGAGTCATGGCTTGGTTAGGTTACGTAATCAAATAATATAATCTCTCCACTGCTAAACATAATAAACATTAAATAACAAAGTTGGCTCAAATCAGATGCCTTGGTTATGTTTCTAAACTACATTCACAATGAATTATTGGGGCGCAATGACTTGCTTCTTCAATTATTATTTATATTCTTACTTTACACCAAGCGGCTGTAATTGCCATGCAGTTAAAAATTGTAACAGTCAAGAATTAAGGATGTGGGTTTGTAAATGAACATTGGTGAGATGGGCAAAAAAGAATATACTTATCCTACCTCCGATTCTAATTATAAAATTCACTTTGTAGTGTAAGTTGGACTACAAAAAAAATCTTATAATTAGGAAATGAGAAAGTAGTTAAGAAGCTCCTCCATGTGGGTTCCATCCATTGATTTGTTATGAAGAGGGAATTCATTCGTGTAATATCAAAATTGCATCATTCAGAGGTTCTTTAGCTTTTTTCCCCTTAATAATTAGATCAATTACATACACATATAGAATGAAGGAAATTATACTAATAAAGAGTTGGTCTAGTAATGTAAGGTCTTTCTAGATCTCTTTGGGTTCGAGTTATAAAGGAGACACTTCTATATATAGGGGAAGCATCCTTATAAATTATTATTGGTAATGAATGAAACATCATATTGTTTGTATTGTTTGGTTGTTGTGTGTTCCATGGTTTAATTAAATTTTTAGGATTTTCCAGCAATTATCTTCATCAATGAAACCTTTGAATGACTTTTCTCAAGAGCCAGGAGCTCCCATTGCTTTTCAATTATTTTACAATTTTGTGTTTCAGTGTAGGCTTTTGTTATTAAAGAAGGGACCCGAAGAGGATTTTACATCATCGACTATACAGCATGTGAGGCATTTTTTTCCTCCCTTATTTTAAGTCGGTCCTCTTCTATGTTCAGAAAAAAATTACAATATGAAAAGAAAAGCATGAAAATATAAATTTTAGTATGATTCCATTTATGACTGTGTTGATTAGGATAATTAATATATCCAATTTTAATATAAGAGTTACGTAACTAATTTGATTTAATTAAAAAAGTCAAATAAATTAGTTTATCATAACAAATATCCTGTAAAACATCGAATTATGAGTTAGAAAAATTAATTGGAAGAATAATAATAAATATAAGAGATAAAATAGATTAAGATCTTATATTTATAATCAAAGTCGACCTCCAAACTAGTTTTTATGCTGATGTAAAAATTCTCTTTAATCTAAAATTAATGTAAGCTTAACAATCAACATTAATGTGGCCAAAAAAGGGGCGATACTGCAATGATTTTGACTCTTAATTAGCAGGCAGTATAAAAGTTAGTTAATTAATTTGAATATATTAAAAAAGTTAGTTATTTATAATAAAAAGGTGTTATTTTTTTTTAAAATATATTTGCTAATCAAGTGTATTAGTTAGAACTACTATCATTATAAGGATTACCTTAAAAAAAAAATAAATATAAGAGACAAAGTAGATTGAGATTTTATATTTATAACCAAAATAAAAGTCAAATTAGAACTACCTTAAAAAATGGATAAATATGATAGATAAAGTGGATTGAGATTTTATATTTATAACTAAAATAAAAGTCAAATAAACTCTTATATTAATGATCGAAAATATTAATTTGTAGTAATAATTAGTGCTACTCCCGAAATAGTCGAGAGGCAAATGTCCTTTCATCCTTAAAATAATTAGAGAGGACATGAAAGAAAAAAGCAGAAGTAAATTACAACCCGAGGGGAAAAATTCACGTTATTGGGATAGTATAGTTGACTTCTTCCAGAACTTCCTTAATTAATTATTAATGTTAATGAATGAAACATCATATTCTTTGGTCATTGTGTGTTTTCGCAACCCACTGAAGCTAATTAACTTTTAAGACCTTCCTGGCAATTTTTAACATTAACTTTAGTTTAGCTTTGGAATTACTTTTCTCAAGCGACGGAAGCTGCCATTAAAAAAATTAGAAGACGATGAAAAAGAAATTAACAGTATTTGGGCACAGCACAAAGTGGAAGTCATCATATACCATCCCACTAAGATGATGAAATAATTTTTTTCCCACCAGCTTGAATTTATTTTCCTTCTCTTTTTCCCTTTTCTTCTTATTGTCTTTTTTTAATGGGTTGTTGAACGGCAGCTCCGGTCTCCTGAGAAAAGTCATTAATTCAAAAGCTAAATTAATGCTAAAAATTATAGTGCTGAAAAAAATCCTAAAACTTAATTGACTTCACCAAACGGTGGGTTGGGGAAACACGCAACGGCCAAACAATATGATGTTTCGTTCATGAACTAATAATAATAATAATAATTAATCATTAATTAAGAATGTTCAGCAAAAAGGTTGAGGACGTCACCAAAAACAAATTAAAGTGAATGTCTAAAAACTTTGAAAATTCTGGAAATACTTATTATAATAGACAATTATGAATTATGTCATGGTCCTTTTTACAAGAGATTCTTAGAGGCTATCTCAAATTTTATTTGTTGATTTCTTATTTTACCTCCATTTAATTACTCATATTACTTACTCCTCTGATCTTGTTTATAAGATACTTCCAACATATTTCACAAATACCAAGAAAAACCTTAAACTGCATTAACTCTTCATTAAAATATAGTAACTTTTCAACTTTACTTATATTTAACATATACTCCTTTGAAAAAAAAACTATTTATACTATAATAAATGAAAGACAACATGATATATTAATGGTAAAAATTTAATAAAGTAATTTATAAATAGGACAAAAAAAACTTCTTTCTCTGCCCTATAAAGAGCATCAGCAGAGTATACCATTACATTTAATGCCCACACATTCCCTCTCCCACACATTATCTCTCTTTCACATAAACAAGGGTATTTTTTACAAGAAGGTTACACTTTTTACATATTTATTATCTTCGGCTAATTTTAAGTAACATTTTGAATAATATAATTTGAGTAATTGTCTCTTATAAAAAAGAATGGAGGGAGTAATGGAAAGCAAAGGGTGACGCTAGGTTTCAATCCAAGTGGAAGGATGATTAGTCTACAATGAGGAAAAAAAACTCAAGCGTATGATAGTAATTAACTATTAACTAAATTGGTAAAAAAAATTAACTACAATTGCAAAATGCAAAGGAGGCTAGGATGCTAGGTTTCAATCCACTTGCGCTTCCTTGTGCAAGAATCAAATGCAAAATTGGGCACTTTTATTGAAAAATATCTATCCAATTAATATCTCATTTTATACAATTATGCCTCTTTAATGTTTGTAATCGAAGGTTTTACTCATCCTAAATAATTATTAAACAAGTTAATGACTACTTAAAACTGACTATTTAATTGTGTTTATGATTGTCGTAATGTGTATTAAACTTGTTTAAGTGTGGCCATTACTAATGCGCGGCCTACGAAAGAGGCATGAGACTAAAGTTCATGGGACCTGTTGTTTTGAGCTTTAGGCAACTCTCTTCCCTCTTTCGTGTTCTGTTTTGCTGAGTTATTTTATCTTTTCTTATTATGTTCATTCTATTCTTACAAAAAAAATCCGTTTAATATTGAGGAGTACCACTTCTTGCTTTGCCGATAATTACAGGATAGTTCTTAAAGATAGTGTTTACAAGACACGGTTTGAATTAACCAGTTATTTGTTGGTGTTGCCATTAAGAAGACAGACATAGCATAATAAAAAAGTTGGAAGATCTGTTAAATTTTTGAAGAATTTAGCTGCTGACGCCTACAAAATAAAAACAGAAGGTTAGAAGAAAGAATGTTTGTATTCTATGAGTATTGATTCTGAGAGATGTTTGTATAGGTTTTAAAAATACGATCTATGTGATAAAAAAGATAAAAGGGCTCAACATATAAATATATGTATGAATATAAAGAATTTAATTGTGTAATGAATCCATCGTTGTAAGTTCGTTGCACATACATATAAGGCATGTGAAGACGAGAAAAACTTACATGCTCTTAGAGTACCAACTCATCCCAACTCTGTCCAATAAAAATGCTCCAGCTCAATTCATTTCACTCCACACGTCAGCCTATTCATTTATATTAGTTTGTTGTTTTTAAAAAAATAAAAATGCTTATGTTTTGCAATTTCCCTTAGTGCTCTCTTCCCTCTTCTCAGTCCCTCTCACTTGCCCCCCAGTTGCGACTCCGAACTCTTCCCCTCCTCCCTCTGTCGAGAAAAAGAGAACGCCGATGAAAGGAGGGAGTTGGACGCCTTTAAACCAGAAGCTATGAGGTACGACTGGTTTGGAGGCTGCTTGGGAGCAATGGGGATCTTTTAAGCATTTAATTTATCGTCCTCATCCTGGACGACAGGGAAGCCAATGAGGACGCAAGCTGCCGACAAGAACCAAAGAGGAGGAAAGCTGAGCCAGGGAATAAGTACGCAACTAGAGGGAAGACGAGTTTGGGGAGCGATGCAGATAGATCAGTGGAGAGGAGAGTAGATTGATCTGACTCGCGTTTGGGAGGCCGCTGCTACTATTCATCATCTTCCCCATCAAAAGGGACCATAGCTGAAAGAGGCAAAGACTAAGACTAGTCTTTTTCTAGAGGAGCTATAGCTTCGATTATGTCTCAGTAGAGAAGAGAAGAGAGGAGAGACAAGGTAGAAAATACGGAGATGAAGGGAGGAAGGGAGAGTTTGGTGACAGAACGAAGAGACCAAAAGAGACAAAAGCCATGGAGTGACCCAGGGGAGAGGGCAGTATAGGAAATTAAAAAACAAGAGTATTTTTATTTTTTTAATACAACAAATTAACATAAATGAGTTGGCTGACATGTTGGAGAGAAATTCTTAGGTACTCCCGGTGTGTCAGGTCATCTGAACTCTATTCAATGAAAATAATCCACCTCAAATAATTTTAACTATCTGTCAGCTTACTTATTTCTATTATTTGTTTTTTAAAAAAAAATTGAAAATTCCTGGGACTTGTGATTCCTTTATTGCCCTCTTTCTCTCTCTCTCTCTCTCTCTCATTTCTAACTCTCATCCCGTTCCAAACTCCATCCCTTCCTCCCTTCATCTCCCCATTCTCTTCTCTGATGCCGATTGCCAAGAAATCTTCCACCGGCGACAGCGACCCTTGCCTAATCTCTTATGAATTTGTATTATATTACTTCCTTATTCCTAATTCCTTTGTATTTATGTCTTAGTCTTGACTATCTCCTATACTGTTTAATCAAAACAGAAGTTGAGTAGCAAAAGAGAAATACTAATTTTCATACAAGAAGCTTGAACTTCTATGAAAAGAAGGCGGATTATTTACTGGTTGGAATGAGCAATTTCTTTGGCAACTTATTTTATTTGCATACTAAAATAAACAACAGTAGGTTTTACACTCCATTCCAAGAACCAGAGCAGCCATAACATCGAAAAGCCCATAAATTTAATTACAACAAGAATGAAGATGATGAAAAAAGCAAATACAAGTAAGAAACTATTTTCAAAAACCCAGAAAAATAAATAGGTTCAGATAAACATAATGAACATTCAAGAACCTAGAAAAATAGATGGGTTCATATCAACATTGCAAGTGGCAGAGGAGACGACGAAGAAGCAGCAGCTTCTTCGATTTAGATCTACAGAGTGGAAGATCTCACCGCCGTCGGCTGTCGTTGGTGGAGACTGAAAAGATGTTTTTGCTGGTGGAAAATCTCAGTCGTTGATTCAGCTTCGTTGTTCAGATCTGCAAAGTGGATTTTCATCCCCGTCATTGCTCCAGAGTCCAAACACCATCACAGGTCAAACATCGCACGTCACTGGGGTAGAAGATGCCGCCTCCGTCACTGGTGGAAGACTCCGCCGCCGTCACCGGCATCCAAGAAGAGAATGAAAAGGTCGAGGGAGGGAAGAGATAGGGTTTGAGACGGGAGAAGGATAGAGAAATGAGAGAGAGAAGGGCAGTAAAGGAATCACGAGACCCCAGACATTTTCATTTTCTTCAAAAACACAATTAATGGAAATGAGTGGGATGACAGGCAGATAAAAATTATTTGAAGTGGATTATTTTTATTGGATAGAGTTCAGATGAGCCTGAGAGTACCTAAGAATTTCTCACATTCTGGATTCAAATTAATTATGCTGGAGTATTTTTATTGGACAGAGTTGGGATGAGTTGGTACTTCAGGAACACCTAAGAATTGGCAAGAAACGAAGTTGAAAAAAAAAAACAGTATTTGAGAGAATTTTTAAAAAAATACTGTTGAATTTCAAAATTCTAACTCAGTCTTATTTACCATTTTTTTTTTAACAAACTTATTTACTATACTTTAATAACAATTGATAATATTAAAAAAGTAAATGACAATGTATTTTCAAATTTTCAAATTTTAAAGGTTTTTTTTAATAGATTTTCTCATAGTATTTTGGAAGGCCACATCTAATTCTATTGGACTTTTATATGACAACGTAACTCAAGATACAAAAAGTACATCGCTAATATCATAGGTAAAAATAAAAAAATAATTCTATTTCATTACGATAAATAAATACTTGATTTACGTTTGAATAATCTTCAGACATTCTCCTTTGAAATTAAAAACATCCACCAAACTTTTACTTTCTTAAATGTTCAAACCATTTGGTTGTGGAAATTGAAAATGAAGATGAGATTGGAAAAATGACATGAAAATGAATGCATTAATGTTCTAATTTTACCTCCGGAAGGCTTGACCGTTAAAAAATATGTGGTTCTCAATTTTATTACATATTTAAATGCTCGTTTACCTTTTATTTTAGATTAATATAATTTTTTATCTCTAAAATTTGTTTTCATTTTAGTTTTGGTCTCTTAAATTTTAAATCATAAGTTTTAATTTCTGAAATTTTTTTCTATTTAAAACATTAATCCATATTATTCCAAAAAAAATTAGACCATTTTGCTTTTTGAGGGACTAAAATTTATAGTTTGAAACCTACAGACTAAAACGAGAATGAGAACAAACTTAGGAAACTAAAAATTATATAAACCTTTTAATTTTTCAATAATTTTTAAGCAATGGGTTATTATCTTTTAAAATTTCGCTCACGAATTTGGAGAGTGGAACGCATGTGGATAGGAAAGGAAAGAAAGGAATTAACAATTTCTTTTTATGGAAGTTATACGCAATTTTTATATTTTTTGGTTATATTAAGTATTATAAGAAATTGTACATACACTTTATTATTTTCAGGCCTTACTAAAATTTTGTCCGATTTTTTATACATAAAAATCAAACTTTAGGGCTCAAATATTTATTCAAATTTCAACGATCCGAATTAATTTATTCATTTCTGGATTAAAAAATAAATAAAATTAATTCACTTTGACTTCAATACATGAGTGAAGGTGTGTGTATAAGACTTCGATAATTGATAATATAAAATATAAAATTTATAATAAGTTATTTTATTTGTGTCATAAACTAGTGTTGATTATTCTTTAAGCACCATGCCATTCATGGAGCCCAGATAGGATTCATTTTGTTTGCAAACATTAAAAAAAAAAATCACCGAGTATTGACCCTCTATTTTTATTTTATACATAATTGTCCCCAGTTTTTGCCAAACATCTACTAACTTTAAAAGGATATAAATATATAATAGATTATATCTGTGGTATTTTCTTATTCATGATGTTGGGGAAAAAAGATGTAGTTAAAAATATCCAGTAACTCAATTTGCTTTTGGAAATTGAAAACAGTAAGAATTGCATGCATTCAATTCATGACACGATTTTCTATTGTAAAGACGGGACGACTTGGAAACATTATTAGTAGAATTGACAATAAGAAATATCACGCGGTTATCCATTTTTTATGCCATTTATATAAAGAAAAGACTTCATGGAAGTCATCATACTGAAACTTACAGCACAATTGTCAACAAAAAAAAGAAGCACATAATCCCAGAAGAGAAAATCACGCAACAGAGTAGAATTTTGAATTGTGCATTTGGCCAAAAAAGAATAAATTGTGCAGAATTTTCATTTAGTGCCTTTTTCAAAGGGTGTGAATGACTTTTTTCTCTGAAAAAGAAATATCCCAGACAGATTTCGCCAATGGGGATAGAAAAATCATAATAAAATAATTAAAATGTGTCGTTCATCACGATACATAAAATATTTTCCAAAGTTGCTCGAATGAGCTATGATGAATTGGCGATGGACTTAGAGAATTTGTTGTTTCAATTACAGCCACGGTATATTACATTGCTCCCTTCCTTTTGATTTCCGTTATTATCATTGAGCATCTGTTTTAACTGGTACGTTGTACCAGTACCAATTTAACTAGAGGTGAGAATCTCTTTTACCAAAGGAATTGAAAGAGATGATAAGAATGGAAGCCTTATGATGGGTTCCATTAATAAGCAGAAAGATCGAAATGGAGTATAGTTTGGGACAAAGATTTTACAAGCGTCATGAATGGGCACTGACTTCAATATGTTAAATCTTCTTTGGCAAGATCCAAGTTAGTATGGGTCCCAATAAATTCCACAGTTGAGAATTGTGAAGTTTCTTGGGAAAGGATTAAAGACTTGAAAAAAAACATATTGCAACATGGGTAATTGCTCTTGGACTAATTAATGCAATTTGGTAGAAAATGATTTTTGGAAAAATTGGCAGAATCTCTTCCACCGAAAGAAATCCAAAGGGATGATAACAACGGAAGCTACTTCTTGATGGGTTTAATTAATGACCAGAGACTCAAATTGAGTATAATTTGGGACGAAGACTTTATAAGCATTCTGGAAAGGGCATTAATGAAACCTAGTTAACTAATTTGAAAAAACTAAAGTACTAAAAACATCTAAAACAGTTTGTAGTTTACAAATAAGGTCTTATAATTAGGATTAGAGGTAGTATAATTGTTTGCAATTTCTCCATGGCACCACATGTCATTGATGTTGTTGTCGATGATAATATGAACTGAACATAAAAGGTCTAAATAATAATTCATACGATATTTTTCTTATTTTGAAAGCTAAAAGTTGTATTCGCAGAAATCCTCTAATTGAATGGGGGAAAAAAACTTTAATTTGTTGCTTAAACGACTTTTATCTTTTGAAGCGTTCAAACGATTTGGTTATGGAAATAAAAAAAAAGAGGATACGAATGGAAAATGATATGAAAATGAATGTATTAATATTCCAATTTTTTCTTGAAAAGATGGAAAGACTTGGGAGAATTAGAAGACTTGACCATTAAAAAAAATGGTTATAGGTTTTTTATCCATTTTTTTATTTTTTCAATATTTTCTTATAAACAATTTATTTGTAATGATTTTCATTTTTCACAACTTATATATGCACATCGTGACTATGTAATATAAATAAAAACTTAATTGAATTAATTCTACTCGAATAAATCATGATGACAGGTTCATTTTGAAAATTTCATTTGCTTTGTTATTTCAATGTACAATGTCATTTGAATTTTAGAGCTCTGATTTTGTAGTGTGTTTGGAGTAAAG